CAATAACTCTTGGTTCAGAGTGAAAAGGTATAAAGGTTCAGAGTAAGGAGGTTTAAAGGTTACCCCGGATAAGGACATGCCTGTACACACATATAATGTTACAGTCCAGGTTTTTATTTGCAGTTATAGAGGAAACAACCTCCTCACTAAGACTAAAAGATATTATTTAAAAACAGTGGTGCAATATGTATACTGCCCATACAGCCAGAGGGTATTGCAAATTTATATACTGACACAGCAGCAATGGGAATGCAGCATTTCAATGGCCTACTAAAGTGTGAATCTGTGTTACCATGTACGCAGAAGAATCTTCTCACAAAAGTGTATGTATAAAATAAGTGCGTGCTTTTTTAACTGCACTATTTTAGCTATTGTCTTTCTAACATTGCATATAAAGTTTTTCCATCACAATGCAACTACATACTAAATACATTAAATTACTTTAGCAACCAAAACCATCCAATATTTGGCTTGACACAAGACTTTCACTTCTAGGAAGGAAGAAATCAGTGTGCACTAAACCTCACTGCCTTAGAGCCCCCTTCAACCAAGTTTGTTTTTCAATCCTGACAAGGGTGATACATGGTGAAACTTGACATGTCCTTTACCTCACAAAGAGGGCCTTTCTTCTACACAGGACACCTCCTCTGTCAAGAAGAGTTGGGTTACGTAGGGAACCAGAAGCACAAAGCACTTCCTCTCTCGTAGTTAGCTACGACTCAAGTGTGCTCAATCCCAGTGCCAGCTCTGACTAGCAGACTGTGGAGAATGATGCAGTGCTAGCGGGAGGCTTTTGTTAGCCAGGCCACAGGTAGAAAGGTTGGCCGAGGGACCTTTGTGTGACTTAATTGGCTCACACACATACCATGTAACCTTGACCCCATGGTTTTAATCCAATCACATATCATTGTTTTGACAAATCTTTCTGTGTTCTTTCAAACCTGTCCTTTGCATGGAGTCATTCATGCAATTATATAAAAAGCTCATTAGAAACGTTTCCACTTAGCATACATCCATTATTTTCCCCCGGTGGGTAACGTTGGGACTGGGCGGAAAAAAAGCTGTGTCAGAATTCTTTGAACATTGTACATACTAACTAATATTTAAATTATTTACATAATACATTTACTACTATTAGTCCATATAATTGAGTTTTATATAAATAATGTAATTTAAAGCAACATTATATAGTAATTTTATCTTAAAATAACAGCTACAAAATATTATAATACTAATAATGTCAGTGTCGTGCCGGAGCTGGCAAGCGGGCAACATGACCAGGCTCAGCAGCCTCTACGGACAGGCAAAGAGACCAAAGAGGACTTTGACAAGAGAAAGCTAAGAAGAGAAAATGAGAGTGACCGAGGCTGCCAGACGTTGGAGAGAGCTTTGTGAAATAATAGGCTGCAAGACAGACGCCGAGCTGGCATTCTTTTTGTTGGACGAATAACTTCTTAGTTGGTTTGATCGGCTTTGTGTTGTTGTTGTACTTGCTTGATGTTTGGCTGTGTTAGCAAAGTTGTCGACTTGCTAGTTTTTGATCATAAGTAATGAAAACATAATAAATGCACATGTACAACTTTAACCTTACTTAAAACAGTGGTCTCAAAATATCACAATAACACTCTGAACCAATAAAGGCGCCAAATCAAACCAAATCTATCATAATGTTGCTTTAAATAATGACTGTCATAGAGATTGACTGATTAATCAGTAGGCCGATCTGGTATTTTGAGATTGCCGATGCCTGCCCTCACAAAGCAGATGAACAAAAAATGTCTGCGTACACATCTGCACGCAACCTTGTCAGTAGGGCTGCTGTAGAACGATGTTGGCACTCCCCCTTGTGAGTTTTGGGAAGGTGGTAAAAAAAGTTTTTTCGATCCCTAAATTTCCTCAGTCAACATCGTCTGTTCTAAATGTTGACCATCCCATCCCAAATGACAGCAAATATCATTTAAAACCATTTCTGACTAGCATTTTATATTGTTATACTATAGAGAAAAATGCAGTTAAATGATGTCACAGGGGTAGCATTATGACGTCTGTTGATAAGCAGGCTGTCATTTCACGAGCTACAGCTATGTATTTAATAGACAGAAGCAGAAAAACAGAAGATTGATGAATGCCCAAGAAGTTCTGGCAATGACATGAGTGAGAATCTGATGGGGGACAGTTAACGGCGGTCATGGGTGCGTAAGTCTGTGTGAGCTTGAGAGATAGAAAAAGAGAGAGAGTGCACCGTTTCTTAGCTAGGGCTAACTAAAACAGCAAGTTATTATTACCAAATCTTTGTTTTTAACTTTGTTTCAGCTAGCCTATTAGACCTAAGTACAGGACTAAGAGAGGGAGGAGTTAGATAAAAGATAAATATTTATGGCAGGGTTGAAGGGATTGGATATTGAGCTGGGAAAGAGCGAGGTAGATTTACTCGATGTGCGCAGAACTGGGTTGGTGGCTGCTGTGCAGAACGGGGGGGGTCCGTAGTAGTAGAGAGTCCAGAGTATGAGAGGCTGAGCTGAGTGGGTCCACAGCAGAATACGGGAATAGTTTAGCCAGGCAGGGGTCCAGGGAGAGCAGACGGGATGAGTGCCATTTACAGTAGCAGAAAGTAACAACACAGTACTGCAAGGTATTTGCACAGTATGTTTGTTTGTTGAAGCCTACAGTTTAATGATTAACTTTAAAATGTAGGCTATTTGACCGTTTTGATCTATAATGAAATTAAGCAACTGTATAATTAATAAACCCCATAACTGCCACACTGTCACTGTCATCACTAAATTTAAAGTGCTCCCACACAACTGATGTTCCCTTTGTTGTAAACTGGAGTGTTATATTCACTGCTGTCAGGGGAGGTCTGGCGTGCGAGAAAGAAACCCTCAATATTTGAATCTCAAAAGTGAAAATCGAATGTGTACCAAATGATCGAATGTTTGAATATCCGGGTCCAGCCCTACGACCTTATAATGAAACTGTTTTGAGCAGGTTGTTGTACAAGGTACACGGATCATGGGACAGTTTGGTCCATTCAATCAACAGAAAATGAATCCTTGAAAATCCTTTAACAGTTAACCATTTTTAATCATTATATTTTAAAGCATTAATGTTTGTTTTGTTTTTATTTGTTTTATGTGATAGGAAACTTAATATCTTTGGGTTCTGCATTGTTGATCATTAAAACAAGTAATCTGAAGAGCTGAAGTTACCTTTATGAAAATTATATTGCAATGTTATGATCTATAATAGACCAATCGGTAAATTTACAAAAATAACTGAAAGATTAATTGATTTTGAAAACAAAGTTGGCTGCAGCCTAAATTCAAGGACCAGCTTCACACATAATATTTGGTCAATGCTAAACTAAACTACACATAACTTTCACATACTGAACTGCCATACTAACACTAGCACATTTGGACACAGCTAGTGTCTTTCAATCAGCCCTGGGGATGCACAATGATACAAGCTCACATAACAACTGTTACCTTGTGTCAGCTATTTCTCTTTTTGCATTAAGTCTCCCTCATGGTTGTTATGAGCAGTATGTGAACTGCTACATTAGTTGAGACACGGTCTAGCATATTGTTGTGAACTATACAGCTGTGTTTCTCTCTGTCATAGCTCCACAATGAGCGGAGGAGGCGGACTGTTGTTTGTGTCCCTTCCACTCCAGGTCAGCTTCTGGTCCCCTCTCCCAGGACCCCCTGCCAGGCTGACTGGGATTGGGGTGGGGTGGGGGGTGGGGGTCCACACCCTGAGATAACAGTGCATTTTAAGGCCTGGATAAACACTGAGCTGTTCAAAAGCTACATGGAATGCACTGGAGTGATTTGTTTTTCCCTGCTTTAGCAAAATTAGATATGTTGATGGTAGAATATCTACGGTAGAAGATATTACTGCCACTTCCACCACACCCACTGGCAATGTTTACAACACATTATCTGTGGCAATACCAAAAGAGATTACACCAGCTGGACCAGTCTGGACTACAAAACTGTAAAGCTGGAAGGTATATCACATAACATGTATTATGTATATCATGATAGAAGACTAATCTGTAAAATTGTCTTTTCCCAGTCTTTAAGTGTGCATCATTGTATACATTTTCTCTGAACTTTTTGACTGTTCAAGTAAGAATACAATAAATCATCGTTTATATTCAAACTATTACACAAATCTCAATGAAGAGATATTAGAAATCTCAATAAAAAGCACTAACAACATGAGGGAATTCAGAAATTAAACTAAATATCAGAAGGCCTTTCTGCTTTTCACAAAAGATTCACATTCTTCTAAATTAATGCAGATGATAAATCAGAATTCCTCAGGAGTAATAAGATAACTAAGCTATGGTCTGTAAAATAGATCATTTGGGTGAAAAGAATCTTTGAATTCCTCATATCCATGTTGGAGAGAAGCGAAAAGTCCCTCTTGTGTGATTCACAATTTGGGGAACCACTCTATATGAGTAAAAATACCCATGCAGTGCAGTGACTCAGGGGTGGCCATGATTTTTTTTAACTGTACAGTCTTACGGTTCAAATTTCTCTACCTCGCTGCTGCCCTTGTTCAGCTGTGTTCCTGCTTTCTCAAGCTCTTGTGCATTACCAAATATATTTCCAAAAATACCATAAACAACACATCTCCAAAATGCTCCCCTCTCTCCTGATCTCTTGAAGGGTTAATGCACCAGGAGATGTCATATGACGTGCCTCCCTGGTCACCAAGATTAAATAAACCATAGCTTAGATTATCTGAACTGTGACAAAGCTTGTCTGATGATACAGCGCAGCAGCTGTGACATCAGCATGCCCGAGAAAAGCATTCATTCTCAGCCTACGCTGATTTGTCTTGTGTCTGCAGGGAAACACCTAGGTCAGACGCAGTTGCTGAATCAGTGAGCCAGTGGTTTATAATGAAGGTGCTGTGCAAAATGTTTTTAGGTGCTTGCGTTGAGCAGCAATAGTTTAGATGTAAACACAACACAAAATACTTACCACAATGGGGTCTATGGAGAACTTGATTTTCCTCTTTGGGGGAGGCTCCTCCTCCTCTGACAGACCGGGGGCCTCATAACAGTTGTCATACTCCCCAAACATTTGATCTTCCACTTCCTCCTCCTCCTCCTCTTCTTCTTCCCTGAGGACCTGATCTACATCTCTGTCATCCACAAATGCGGCGTTCTCTATACCGTACACGACTGGTGAGGCTCTTTCCAGGATGCTCTGGTCCACCTGCTCCTCCAGCTCACTCTCCTCCTCTGCCACTTCATCATCTTCCTCATGATTACTGTCCCCATCCTGACTCACAACTGATTTGTCTTCCCGTGTTCCCTCTTTCACCCCAAATCGCTCGCTGTTCTCCAAGACTCTACCTTCACCCACAGTCTCTGCTATCCTTTTTGTCTCTTTTGCGACATCTCTTGCTAAGACATGATGAGCAGGGTTACAGTTCTGTCTGTCTGCTGGAATGGTTCTTTTCAGTTCTGTTGGAAGCTCTTTGGGGCTTTGCACCTTCTGCTCCTGAAACACATTATCTTCAATGTTCTCCTCATTCTCCTCACTTTCTGAGGACTCATTCTGAACCACTACTAATTCTGCACGTACCATGCTCACCCCCTTGGAGTCTGGAGATGAGGTCTGGCTGAGTGGCTTGTCCCTGTTAGGACTATGAACCGCACTGTCATTACTCCTGGCCTTTTCAGGGTATTTAGCCCTGCTGGTGTTCTGAAAACCACCAGCTGATGGAAGAGGCTGCTTCACATCCCTTGGGGGCAGACTATGTGGCTTGTCTTCATCCCCACCAACAGATGTCCTACTAAATCCATCACCGGATGATGAGACGCATTTGTAGCCATGGCTAACTGGGGTTGTTTGCTCTGCTGAGAGGGTTTTGTGAGTGACATCAGTTGTTGGACAAACAGATTTGTATGCTGCATTGGTAACTGGGAATGCTGGTTTAAGCCCAACACTAGACCCCAAAGACACTGGTTTGTTACTGACACACGCTGTCTGGGATGTATTTTTGTTAGTGGCATCATACACAGGAGTAGAGTTAGTGGTTTCTTTAACAGGAGAAGTAGATTTGTGCAAACTGTCCCTTGTCGGAGAGGTAGGCAGTAAGTGGTCAGGGGCACTGTGTTGTTTAGCAGACCCTGTTCCTCCTTTTGCAGCTGCTGTGTTGTTGTCTTCCGAGTCATTCTCTGCCATATAACTCTCCATCCTTTTGGAAATGGGTCCTGCATTCAGTGACACACTAGCCCCATGCCTTTTCTCACTATCAGGATTCTCATCCGGTCGACATTCAACTGGTGATGTAGGCGTTTGCTCTGATTTGATGGAGGTCTCGGAGGATCCTGACACTCTCCTTGTGCTTTTCCTCTCATCGGAGGCACTTCCGAGGGACAAACGATTTACTAGTCTGTTTTGTGACTGCTTGTCAGCTGCAGGCTGCTCTTTCACGCCCCTTTCAAAGAGTTTTCTGGTCACAGAAAACTTCTCTGCCAAAGCCACTTTGTCAATCTCAACCTCTTCCCCTTTGGGTGTTTTTTCTAAATTGTGTGATTCTGGGCTTGCAGCACTGCTGAGGTTAACTCTGTGGGTGTTGACTGGAAGCTTGGTCGGAGACACTGGGGACACCTCCGACTTTAAAGTCACTTTCCCCTCTTGGCACTCCTGTTGCTGGCCATCCATCTGTAGGAATATGTTTTTTATCTTGTTCACTCTGTTCCCAAAAGGCCTCCCCCTTGAGTCCTCCCGGGAGTCACTGGACCCATTTGCATATGATTTGGCAGCGCCCTCGGATTTTGGCCCATCAAAGGAGCACTTAATGGCGTGGAAGTCAGACTTGTATGCATTTCTGTGAGGAGAAGCGCTCCTTAGGGTCCTCTCGCCTCCTTTGCTTTCCGCTTTGATCATTTTTGCTTGTTTATGACTGCAGCCAAATCACAAAAGCCTGGTTTGGAGAGACTGTCGCTGTTTGTTGGTGAACTCAACTTCACGCAAGCGGTGCCATGGGTCCGGCAGCCTCGTTAGAGCACAGTTGTCACAACTAAAAACTCACAGCTAAGTCATCTACGGAGAGAAACGGACAGTAAAATCTGTTAATAGAGACACCGAATACCATTATCTCACTGTGCCTAACGTTAACTCATGTAACATGTGATAATACATAATTATCTCTATCTACATGCAAATGAAAACGTTAAAACTAAAGGTAAGTTAGAACATTAAGTAACATAATGTTGATGAAGGTACCTTTAGCATGCACACCTTTTCTATGCATTTCGATGGTCGTCTGACTAACTGGCGTTAGCTAACCACAATTCTTAACCTTAAAAGTAACTTTGACTAGCTAGGAACTTTTATGTTTAACTTGGTAAACATTGTTATCGTTGCTGGTAGCGCTACATAACCGATAAAAAGAGGAAACAAAGTTAAACTTAACTTAACTGGGCCAACAGTTCAATAAAGCCCGAACGTTAGTGCCCCAGTCTGAACAATTCATTGTGGCATTTTAAGAACGAGCCGTTGAAAACGTTAACTCCGGGTCTGCACACAACACCGCACAAAGGTTAGCAACTTTGAAGACTCTCACCTTCTACTTGTTTCATCGTGTTAGGCGCCGAAAGATCACACGCACACAATGCCCCAGTTTTACAGTATCAAACTTGTCCCTTTTTCTTGCTCACCGCCATCGCTCCCCGCTCCGGCAGCGTTTTTCCTGCCTCCTCCTCCTTGCACTTCCAGACCTGTCGCGGGCTGCGCGCGCACACGACTCTGTCTGCAGCGCGCGCCGCGAACCGACCAGAACAGAGAGGGTCGGGAGCGCGCTCACATTCCAGGGCTGTAACCTACCACCACCCCACTCCCACCAAACCTCCCCTCTTTCGCCACAGAGAAGGAGTTGTAGGAGAAAGGCGTGGGAAAGAGCTTACTGTATATTTACAGCTCACCTAGACCTCTGCGCGGGTAAAAGTCCACACCTAGACTACAAAACAGCTCACTAGAGTTCATTTACACTGCATGTTTTGCAACCAAAGCTGTAAAATGTCCACAGTAGGTTAGACATGGAAATGGGGTTTTCCTTCACAGCCTTTCAACCAGTCTATACAATGTTTTCACTGAGTGAATGTTATCATAATATCTTAGCATTAAAGGGATTTTACAAATGAAGTTAAAATTACCTGTCACAACATGTAGGCCTACTACACAGCCTGTACAAAGTTGTATAATGTCTTTGGCTCTGAGCTTCATTACGGTTATTTTGGCTTAAAACAGAAAATCTACATCATAACCTGGACAGATGGGGTTTCAAAAGAACTGGCACTGAGGAGGCAGAAGGGGTCTAATTAAAGATGTTTTTTTAGCTCATAGCTTTATATCTTGGCCTTTGCTACTTTGTTTTTAATCATTATTTTAAAAAATCTGTACTTTATTTGAGTCCCCTGACTTAATGAACGTGCAATACCAAATTGGTATTAGAGTACCTCTTTAGGATACTTTGCTAAAACAACAGTTTCCTAGAGCTGTGGGGCCCTACTTTTGCTATGTATGGGAAGTAGACTTTGCCAAGACTGGATTACCAACTGGGCAGAGCAGGCAACTGCCACAGTGCCTCAGACCCCCAGGGGCACCAAAACCCCTGGTCAGTTTGGGTTATCTGCCTAGGCCTTTTTCACAGTAGACATTTTGACATGTACCTTGAAAGCACAGTTGTAAATAATAAAATGAATGATGGCTGAACTTCATTTAGCTGCTTTAGTCTTGGTTTCAGCCTTGAGGGTCCCGAAATTATACATGTTCACACTGCTATGATTTATTAGCATTGACACTTGAATAGAACAAAGCCATTGTAATGTTATTAGTAACACCTATACTGTAAAAAAAAAGTCTGCTGTTGCTATGTTTTATACTTAATTTTCTCCCCCAAATTTTATACTTTTAATTTGTAATTCATTATGCTGAAAATATCTGTTAAAGTGATTTCCCAGAACAGTGAAACATTCAGCATAGATGGATAAAAACTCTCCCTTTCCCAGAGAGGAATGTACAAGTTAACTCTTATTTTGCAAAACTTTTCCTACAATAGCTATGTGCCTGCTTGTTTTCATTGACATCGGCCACAAACTGAATGAAAGTCAGATTTCCTTGGTTGCTGAGAACCTGCATTGCAAAAATATCATCCAATCAAACTGACCCAGGAAATAGAAGTCAGATCAAGTGGGAGACGATGTACTTCAATCTCCACTTCTCAGCTGAATATTTGAATATTTCTAGAAGATGATGACTTGATTTTAAATTGAAGTTTTAATAACACATTTGTCAGGATATTACTATAAAGGGCGTTATAGTTTTTTTTTTTGTTTTTTATATATCTTTAAATGTATATTGTTATGTTATGTAAATCTTCATACATTTTGAACATACCGTCTTTAGTGACTATGTATGAAACCAAACAAATGGAGACTTATGTAACAAAATGCAAAGAGTAAAGTAATTATTGATCAATATGAACAAGACTGCAGCAGATGGTGATCTATTTAGAAGGCAGTCTTGTCAGCATGACCATTTTTTTCAGTTGCCTAAAGTATAATCCCATTTGCATTTTTAATTGTAAAAAAACATGAAATATTGAAACCCCCAACACAGATTTGTTTCTCCCAGAGAGGATTACCTTTTGCCCTCAAACATAGTGTTTCATTTTGGGCTTCTTCAGCCCATCATATCAAAGTTGTAAATTAGTGTTTTAAAAACATTCAGAGTGAAGTCTCTGGAAAAGGTCCAGTCCTCAGGCATTTCCTCTGAAATTATCCGCCTTCACATTCCACTTCAGACATGGTTATCAGATATATGAAGTTTTATATAGCTTTGTATAACCACTCACATCTATGTAAGTGTGTTTGTTTACACTGTGCTGTATGCCTTTCTAATGTGTTCTGTATTCATTTGTTTTATGTAAATTCATGACATTTGGCTCTGGGTAGGGATGTGAGCTCTCAGACCAGGAGTGAAACAGTGTCAATTATGGAGCACACAGTTTTTAAACATCATTTCCTTTGACTCTGGAATTTGACTTTTAAGCAAGACTCACGCCTACAAAATGCTCAACTGACAAGAAGAAACAAATACAATTTAATAGACGTTTGACCCTGAACATTCAGTCAGAGTTCTACATACCAGAAGTAACAAATATCTTTGCAAATGCTCCCCAGAATCTGAAATTATGCTGTGTGTGCACATTAGGGTTGCATGTGTCCTTGGGTTTACCATCTCCAGCTTGCTGGATCATCTCCTAGCAACTGTGGGTCTGAAAAGTCTATATACACAGTCAGTGGGCTTACTCCCAGGGGTAACATGGCACGCCTCAGCCGAGCCAGCGGTCCCCATAGCAACCCTTTAAACAACATCGTACGAGCAAGACTAACCAAATGGAAACAGGAACAGGTGAAGAGCAGGTCAGAATCGCCAGTGGAACCTTTGAGTCTCAAACTCAGTCCAGCCAGGAACAACTAATAAAACAAAACTGTTTCTACACCTGGCACTTTTCCCTCTTCATGAATAAGGTGTAAATTGCAATGTTTAGATATTGCCATTGTTTGTAAGGTACTTTTCAATATGAATAGCAATTAAATAGCCTTTTCAGGAGTTGTTTTGTTTCCACATTAACTTGCAATGGATACAAAAATGAATTTCCCACTTCTAATATCATCTAATCTTCAAGAGTATATCTAGGTGTGTGTGTTAAAAGGTTTCTCTGAAAGAACAGTAAACCGCAGTGATTTTTGAACTGGTACCTTACGAGAAGTAATAACAAAGGTGTAGTGGCAAAGTAGGTCTACTGCAGTACATACTGACATCTTCACACATTGTTATGTGGTAGTCTGTGAGATGGTGGTATGCAGTGTAACAGGAATGTGTTTTGTATAGTGCATGCCCTGGCCTGAATTACTCTTGCATCCCCACTATTTAGCTTAGCAAGAGACATGGAGACTATGTAATCAGTAAATGCTGCTCATTCTGAGGACATAGATAAAGCTGTGCACCCTCAACGAGTGAGCGTGTTCATCCATGACTATTGGAACAGTTAATTTAACAATATAATCTTAACTTAAGGCCCACCTACTCAATATTAAAAAGTAGTAAGTGGAACATTTCAAAACTGAACTATAAGATACAAAACATTTCTGGCCACGCTTTTTGTTGTGGACATTTCATGGCCCTAAATATTTCAGAGTCAGACTGAGACCTTGGTTACTGTCCCGAACAATCTTTTAAATCAAAGTCAAGGCAATATGATCCTCTATTTTTTCACTCTGAATGGGGAGTTGAATTTCTGCCCTGGTGTGCTCATTTTCTTACCTTTGACAGAGATAATGCTGCCATCTTGTGGCAGACAGAAGTACAGGATTTGAAACAAACAAAAATGAGATAAATTTCAGCAATGACTTGCATCCACATCATACTTCTAAAAAAGAAAAAAAAGAATGAAAAAAGTCATGATTTAGCCCTGCCCAACCATAATTTTGTCAAAACAGTTAAATGCACTTATCAGTAGTTTACTTGATTTATTTTTGAAATTGCGTATTTTCAATTATGATAAGTTAAGAGACATCATCAGCCGCTCAGTTTTTTCAGATGTTTTTCTTTTTCTATGGTCAAACCTTTGAATTGAACATTTGAATGTACTTATATTTCAGATGGTCATAAAACAAACAAATAAAGAAACTAGCCTACTGATTGGGCCTTTAGTCAAGCTTTTGGTACATGAAACAGTTTCAAAGCAGGGTTGTTGTTTTTTTTGTTTGATGCTTTTGATTATAGGTTGTATACTAATGGAAAATGAGAAAACACTCTTAATAGTATCTACAAACTCAGTTCTCAGTATTAAAATGATGAGCAAGAAAAAGTAACGAAGGCAGCACACAAACAGGTTCCTTCACATTTCCATCAGCACAGAAGGCATTTTGTGGAGCTGCACCACTGAGCCTCGTTACTTCTGTCTCTGTCGCGGTTTGTTGCCAAGGTAACTGAGAGAGACCAATGACCCTTTCATTATGGGGCCTCTTATTACAAAGCATCATTTTCTCAGGGCCATTGCGAACATGTTCCTACTTTGACAGAAGCCGTCAGTGCCCATACAAAGTGCCGCAGTCGGTTATACAAGCAGCCATTTAATTATAGACATGCATATGTTCAGGGAGTTTATGTACATTTTCTTGAGTCCCTGTATATTCCCAATGAGCTATCATGTGGAAACTCATGATGATAATGTAGATGTTATTGTATAGGCTACCCAAGGTCACCACCATGCCCTCTGTCTCCCCTTTGCATCAGCTAATATCCTGCAGCAGAGAAGTCACTCTTTATCTTGACTGGCCACTTTATTAAAGGTTCATATAGACTACCCATGTCCTCCTCCTGCAGAAAGCTGCCAAATGCTTCATGGTCAATATGCAATACAAGGCTGCAACAGTATGAAAATCAATTCACATATTGATTTATTTTTGAAAATTTCCACCTAAAGTCATGTTGTTTAGATTGGTGAGTTGTGTGAGTGAGATGGTGGTGACAAAAGCAGAGTAAAGACATTAGCTATGAGTGGCTACTCAGTGTGGACTACATTTTGCACTTTTACGAGCGAGACTATATTTTGCACCAGGTTGGGACATTCTTATTGTACTAAAGATGTTTTAATTCTGTGTGTCCTAATAGTCTGTCCTCACTGATAAATTGGGCGGCCAAAATAGTAGAAACGCCTC